CCTCCTCCTCCTCCTCCTCCCCCCTGCTCCTGGTCCACAGCGCATGATTTATTACCGGCACGTCGACTGCCCGCATTGGAGGCGATCCGTTGACAGATCGCTTCTTAATTTGGAGCCGAGTGAGCCAGCAGTGTGTGTGCAGAGCCAGGGACCATGAAATTTAACATCAGGGCGCTATAAATGCAGCTTCCCAAGATGCTGCCCCGGGGGCTCTCTCCATCCCCCTCAACACCTTTGCTTGGCTCCGGGGCAAGCCCCTGCCAGGGCATAGCCACCTCCCGCGGGACGCTGCAGCTTGCATGATACCCTCCGGCATGCCTCCCACTCCCCAGGGATGGGGATGGAGGCTGGCTGGGTGCCCTGCTGTGCCCAGCTGTGGCTGCTCCATGGCATCCATGGCCCCCCCAGAGCAGACCACTTGTTTTCCTCTCTCCCTCTCCTGCAGCAGTAACTGCGAGCTGGACTACGATCTCTACAGGGACGACTTCCCGTACAGGTGAGCGCAATGTCCCGGGAGCGGGGTGGGCTGAGGACGCCTCTGCTGAAGGCAGAAAGCAGGGTGTCCCTGGGCATCTGTCCCCTTGCCTCCTAGAGAGGCTCAGTGGCATTGCCCACTTCAAGGGGCACATAAAGCTTACCCTGGGGGCTGGGATTTATGGGGCACAGACAGCATGTGGGCTGGGCACTGCCCAGGTCGTGGGTCTGTCACTGCAGAGGGACCCTCAGAGATGCTGTCTTGGCTGGCAGGGGCTGCTGCTGCATCTCCAAGGTTGTGCTCATGCCACCATGTTCTTGTACCCTTGCAGGGTGTACGAGTACCAGAAGATTCCCCCCCTCATTAACCGCATCCCAGTCAAGGCCAGACGAACTCATGTGGGAGCAGGAGGCAAAAGCAGCCTGAGCCCCCAGCCCGGGGCGAGGAGCAGCACCAGCTCCATGACGGGACGGACAAAGTGTAAGTGTGATGGGGCTGAGAGGAAGAGGAGGCTTGGCCCTGCATTAGGGCAGTGCTGGTGCCCAAAAGTCCTGCTTGGTGCTGACCCCATTGCTATGAGTCCCCAGCTCCAGCAGACACAGCCTGGCTTGTACTAGGCTGGTGGCTGTCCCCTTGACCCGTCCCTGTTCCCCAGGGATGCCCAGAGGGGAGGATCCTCTGGCAGAACACTGTGTTCCCCTGGCTCTAGGCAGGCTGTAGGGCAGGGAGGGATCCTCACGGCTCCTCTCCCCACAGTGCGGGCTGAAGAGCTGCACTCCATCAAGGGTGAGCTGAGCCAGATCAAGGCGCAGGTGGACAGTCTGCTGGAGAGCCTGGACCGCATGGACCAACGGAGAGAGCGTCTCGCAGGTGAGGGGACAGGCAGCCTGTGGGTGTGTGCGAGCCTGGACCCCGATGTGGGTGTAAGGGATCCCTCCCCGTGTGCCCAGGAAGGAGCTGGGCATCCAGACCTGGGCAAATTCCCTGCGTCCTCCCCCCTCCCCAGGCTGGCAGGGCAGAGTCTGGCCCTTTAACGCAAAGGGACCCTGCGAGGACAGGGCTGTTCACACAGGTACTCCAAATTTCTGCCGTCTCTGTCCTTGCAGGGTCCAAGGAGAGCGAGAAGAAGAGGGTAGAGATGGGGGCAGAGTCGCCGTCCCCAGCAGGAGAGGGTTCACGGGAGCCGCGGGGGAAGGAGGGGATGGGATCTGATGGGCACAGCGACCTGCGCAACATCGACAGCGCTGAGGAGAGCACAGACACGGAGGAGACGGTAAGAGGAGGGCCAGATCCTGCGCCGGGCTCTGCTTTCCTAAAATTCATCCCCGCTTGATGCCTTTGTGGGTCCTGGTGGAGGGATGCCACTCCAATGGGGTCCCCTGATCCATCCTGGCTTTGTGCCAGGGCTACGAGTGCCTGTGCCTCCAGGATAGCCCCGAGAACCCTGCAGCAAACCCCTGGGTGTTCATTACTCCAGCAGCACAGGCTGAAAAAAAATCCTCAGAGTAGAAATACCCTTTATTGAAGCTGCTGCTCCCTCAGCCTCATCCTCAGCTGGATGTGGGACCCTAGGACGTCTCCATGCTAGGCAGGGCACTAGGTTTGATCCTGCTGCCCAGGCACGTCAGAGGACGGACGCGCTGTACGCTTCTTCTTGCAGGTGAAAAACCACATGTCGGACCCCGAGGGGAGCCAGTAGACGGACTGGGATGCCATGGCCTCCCTGCATGGCCAGCCCTTTCTGTCTTGTGTTTGTATTTCTTTTGAGGCTTCCAGCTAGTGCCACGCAGGACGCAAGGTGGCCTGCCCTCGGCATGGCCATCCCCTGCCGCTGGCAGCCCCATGTCCCACCCCTGTGAGATGCCAGCCAGCCGTGGCGAGAGAAGTTTTTGTGTTCAAGTGTGCTTGTTTTCTTTTTCCTCCTGTTTTCAGACCTAGGGGTAAGCAGACACGGCCGGGGGAGGCAGGGGAGAAGCAAAAAAAAGGATTGTATCCCAAAGGAGCATCCCAAATCCCAGTTGCCTTGCACGCAGGGTGCCGTGGGGCACTGGGAAAGCACCCCGGGGCTCCCAGCCCCTACGGCACAGGTCACATCCCAACCTCCTGTGCCCTGCAAGCCCACCCGCTGCCACCAAGCTTCAGCCCCACCCTGGGAATTGGTTCAGCAGGTGCAGGCACATCCCAGGAAAGCTTTAAGAGCTGCTCAGCATCCCACCATGATGCCATGGGAAGGAGAGACCACCCTCAGAGAGCTCTGAGGGGCTTTCAGGGGATTTTGGGATGGAGGGGTGGTGCTGAGCCCAGGTCCAACTCTGGCTGCAGGGCTAGCAGCGGGGCAGTGCAAACCCAATTGCTCCCCAGTCCCCCCAGCTGCCCGATGGGATTCCTTACTGGTTCACCACTGGCCGTTCTCGGCCATGGATCATGTTGGTGGTCAGCAAGGCTCCCGTGAGCAGCTTTGCCCGGGCTCCTTGCCCAAGGAAGTCACGGCTCCCCCGGCCGTGCTACCCAGCATTTCATCTTGGTTTGGTGTCCCTCATTTCTAGGTTGTCCTTCTCTCGCTGGTAGGAACTTGTTCTGTGTTTCTGATTTGCTCTGGTAAAAGAGTGTATTGTGTTTGAAAGAAAAATAATTTGTATTTCTTTGGTTATTCTACTCTGATGCAGTTTTTAACCTTCTGAAGCGCACGTGTAATTTTTACAACTTTGTGTGCTGCCTGACACAAGACCTAGGCTTTGGGGGTTTTTGAGGATGCTGCCTTCCCCACAGCTCTGCCCCATTTCTCAATGGAAACATTAATCATCACCTTTACTCAGAACATTCCCTACCAGCGTGGCACAGTACAAGTGGGCACAGAGGACCCGCTCCTCTCCATCCATGACCAGACCCCAAGGCAGCGCCCTGCTCCCTCCACACCCCTCAAGGAAGCAGAGTGGGAGCAAAGGGGGGTGACCCCGATGCCTGGCAGCCAGTCACCCTGAATGCATCCTTCCACCTCTGCCCGCAACTGGCAGAGGGCTCAGCAGAGCTACACAGGCAGGAGGCTCACCAGAAAAAACTAATTTATTACAAAAGACATCTCTGGCACCCTGAAGCACTGCCTGGGCAGGAGATGCAGAGTCTGTGCCATGACGTGGTTCCTGCCCGGTGCTGCCTGGCCCCTGCCTGCATGGATGGTTGTGGTGAGCAGCTCGGTGTGAGGGTCTCGGCTCTGGTGCTGGGGTTGCCCCAGGCTGGAGTGTTGGATCCCACAGTGCAGGCAGCTGCTTGGAGAGGTCTCAGGCAGGGTCTAGCAGCACGGAGGCTGTTGTTGGGAGGCTCTGGCAGTGTGCGATGCCGCTTGAGTCCTGCGGGGTCACTCAGGAGGGGGCTCCTGTGGTGTGGGGGCTCCCCAGAGGCACGGGGTGGGATGCAGACTCCAACGTCCTTGGGCAGGTTTCTCGGGCCTCTGGCTGTGTGGGCAGCCCCAGGGGCTGGCTCCAGGGTGTCTCTGGCAGCTCTCGGGCTGGCTCGCTCGGGCAAGCTCCGGGGCGTCAATGGGGCGGTGCGGCGTGGCTGAGGCAGGCCGCGGGAGTCCCCGGGGGCCTG